TTATAGATATATATATAAGATATATATATATATAGATAGATAGATAGATAGATAGATAGATAGATAGATAGATAGATTATAAACCAATCTTCCAATAATTTTAGTGGACTCTGAAATACCTTATATTAGCTATCCACCAGGTGGCACTATAGTTCCAATTCTCGAAACTAGCTTTGTTGTAAGCCTTTATACAGTTGAGAACTTAGTTATGGTGTGGAAAGAGAACCATTATGATATCTCATGGGCTTCTGAAAAGTATCAGTAGCAGCTATGGGGATGAGGCTTAAATCAGAACAGAGCAGCAATGCTGGGCAACCTTACAGCAATTCTTTTACAGTACTCATTTAATTCTATCGATTAAAATTTCCTCATCAAAGCTGATTTTTGCTCCCTGGTAATTCATAGGTCACCATATTATAACAATTCTAAAGAAATCAATTATAGCATCAGTTATATATTTGATTGTGCATTGATTTCATGTTCATGAGCTAGTTAAGGTTCTTATTTTGTTCATACATTGAAATTTTATAAATTAAAACATGTAATCTTTTCAATTAATTTTCAATTACGTTTAAAAAAAAGGAATTTCCACTTACCCACGAAGACAGTTTGGATGGCACAGCTGACATACTGAATTTTCGTCTGCATATTTCCAGACTAAGGTATCATTTTCTCCCAAAATGCCAGCAGGACATGTTTTAACACAATGTGGACCATCTATTACGTGAGCACACTTCAAGCAGTTACCTGGACCCTGGACAAGAAGCAAAGCATTTTTTGTGGATGTGAAATACATTTGCCCACACACTTATAAATGCGGTCTTGAGCAGACTTTCTCAAACTACACCATCCAGACATGTGGAACTCCAAGAATTGACAGAGGAAAAGTCTTGCAGGCTGAGAATGATGGGTGTTAAAATCTAAAATATCTGCAGGTCACCAGATAAAAGGTGTTACGTATCTTTTATTATTTCAGTATCCTATTGATTCTTGAAAAACAGTTATTCTCAGGAATTCTATTATTATTTTAATTTTTTTACCCTTTGTGTTAAATACTTCGAACTAAATGTTTTAAAGAACAAACTAATTATATACTCTCTTCTGTAAGAAAAGCTAGGGCAGTCTGCTTCACTTAATTACAATTACACAGACAACTCATGATGATTCCTTCTAATGGACTAATCAAGACATTTAAATACCCCATGACTTCTCTCCCTTCCCAGGAGAATGAATTAAAGTCCAATTTGCTTGATATCCTTCCTGATTAGCTGCAATGAGAAGTAGATATGAACAGCTCAGATGAATTATTTGTAATTAAAAACATACAGTAGTTGCAGATCTCCATGCAACTCTATGCCCTTCTCTGCTTTTTCAGAAGAATTGAATGGAAAAAGGGGAGTTTGCTCTTACTTAATATTTGGAGCAGCATCAGAAAGAAAATGGTTAAAAGTTATTAGAAAATGTTTTCATGAAATTACAAGTGAATAATTATTGTTAGCATGAGGATTCTGGGGGGGACAACTGAATACAGAGCACAGAGTTCCATTTCTGCTTATGATTTCACTACTATAAGTAAACATGAGAAACATTTGATTTTTCACACTAATTTGAAGCTTAGAATATAACTCACCCACCTGCCAGTCTTACTAATTCCCAAAACCTTTTTTTTATTTTTCCAACACTACAAGAGGAAAAATTACACTGGGAAAAATAGTTTTCCCAGTAAGAGACTCTCTTGCCTCATGAGGAGCTGAGCTTCCTCTTTTTCATTTCAGAATGCAGCTTGTGTGCAAATTCCCTATCCCTTGCAGCAAACACGATACTTACTGTTGGGCTGAAATCAAGTGGATAGAAGAATCTCTGGCATAAAACTCTTCAAAATAGTCTTTGGCAGTTTTGCATGCAGTATCAAGAATAACTCTTCTGCCCCATCTTGCATTAACTAAACTTCCTTCTTCTTTGTGACCTCCATTACAAAACCTCATGTTAATTGAGTTCAACTCCCAGTGACTTCATTGGGACATCCATGAGTGTTTTGTTTTACTTCTGGTCAAGCATTCAGCTGAGATTATCCTGTGGTCTCCCATCTAAATACTAACCAGTCCCAACCCTGCTTAGCTTTTTGAGATTGGTTACTGTTAGTCTTATTAAAGCCTTTCTTGCTTAGTGATTGCTCTTCTTGATTCTTCTTGAAACCTGTTTGGTTGGTTTTCTGCCTTTCTTATTATATTATTCACATTGTGTAGTGATTGGGGTAACACAAGAATTGTAATTAGGTGCAACATTTTAAGACACAGCAGCACAATTTAAACCCAAAGCTTAAAGCCACTACAGCTTAAATGTTTTTTTTTTTTAAATACTACTGACAATTAAGCATTTCAACTTGTAGCTACAGAATGAAAGTATGTTTCAAACCTTCCATGCTCTGTCTAATATAGTTTTGGTGAAATGAATAAGAAAGCCCATGTAGGCAAATGAACTGTCATCATCTAGGCTGAGAAAAACAATAGTCTAGGATGGGATACCTTTTGGGTCTTTTCTCTGATCAAGTGAGCTTTAAGTCCCTACAGTAAAATTACCTGTACCCTCTGAACATTGACCTGTGTATATGTGAGCACACTGATATCTGCGTCGGACAACAATACAATACATTCAAATAGTCTAAGAAATAAAATTGCAAGAGAATGTGCACTTACGGGTCCTGTGCAAGTTATATTTGATTCAGTTGAATTTTGTACAAGGCATTCTGGATGACACTGAAAGCACTCAGAATTTTGTTCATATTCTCGAGGCACTCTGAAAGAAATGAAAAAAAAGGAATATGTCATTTATTTATGTATTTATGTCTCACACTTCTATTATACTTTTCAAGGTATTTTTACCAGAGCAATTTACAAAAAGTGAACTTAAAACACAAGCAAAATTTAAAAGCAACAGCAACATGTATACATTAAACCAATGTTGGGTCCTTTTCTTCCTTTTTCTGAGATCTCTCCATTACAGTTACTCCTTTCTTAAAATGCAAAACTTTTTTACCGCAAGCTATTACTTGCCATTACATATAGAGAGAGCTGCTGTGCGATAAAATACACCACTGAAAACCTCTTTAAAATATTTCCATTGTTAGGTGAGTTCCTTGAAAATTACAGGCATCTAAGTACTGTATCTTTTCTTGTGTCTTATTTCTTCTTCTGCATTTAAGTGGACTACTCAGTATATCTCTATTAACTGTTAATCTCATTAGAAATAATGACAATTACTAAACATAGCAGCACCATGTTGGACGATTTAAAGCAGCCAATCATCTTGACAAGATATTTTATCATACTGACAATCCATACCTTCCAAAAGAAAAATCCATCATCTTCAAATATCAAGAAAGTGACAGTGCCAAGAAAGCATATTATTCAAATTTAGGCAGGCAAGAAACTCTGGCCATGTCACAACTATTAAAAAGAAGGTATATTAGAAAAAGAAGGTATATTCATTGTAGGGGAGATACACTTCAAAAGAAGTTTAGTATTAAAAATGCCTATATATATATTTACTGTGTTCGCTGAACATTAATGAACACTTTATGGTTTCTTTTAGGTAATCTTGGTGAATAATTAAATCATGTGAAATCAGTTTATTCACAGAGAATTCTGACCACATGGTCTAATTTACATTAACATTTTGACACACACATGAGCCCCAGGAGTGACTGACCTCATACTATATACATTTATAGGATTATGGATAATACAACAATTATGCTAAAATACTTTGTTTTCCATAAGTTTTGGATTAATTAGGTTTCATACAATGGCAGTGGCCTAAACACACATATGAGAAATAAGTTAACAGCTAAATTTATCTCATCTCTGAAATCATTTAATGAATGATTAAAACAGATGGCTCAAACAATTATACATCTTAGTATTTATTACTGGTTACACTGAACCCATAATCTGATGCAAAGGGAATATGTTTGCTATTTAGGTCAAAGCATTATGTAACATCTGCTGATGGATAAAGTCCTTTAAAAGCCTTACACACCGTGCATTCATTTTATTTTTCCTAAACTGATCACTTAACTTTGGAAAGCAATAGCAGGAAGAAAGCGGAGGAAAATATTTTTTATGGGAAGTAATTATGTTAAATATGTTAACATTATATACCTGACATTAGAGAACAAGAAGTACTTCTGTTTTCATAATCTTCATCATAATTATTAGCTTGAATGATTATAATTTGTTGAATTCAAAGATCTGCACAACTGAGCAAATGGGTTTTTTTGGTGTTTTTGACTAACACCAGCAATATAAATTGCTTTTGAAACTGAAGAATGGTCTCTGGTGTTAGATCACTCAAATGAGATCTTAGATTGCACCACATTTCTAAGAATGTCCTCTAGATAGCTCTTGTAGTCTTTTGCAGAAAACACACCAAAAAATAAAAAAAGATTAGTCTACTACATTATGATCGAGGGTGACATTCTGATATCAATGTAATCCTAATCATGTTTAGTTAGATGAAATTTCATTTGAATTTAATGAAACTTATTCTTTAGGAAAAGTACTTAAGATTTCAGAATCTTACTAACTGTATTCTCGTACAAGCAGTTGCATGCATTATTGTAGCTTAAATATTCAAGGCTTTCATTTCTTCATTACATGGAAGTATGGAACTCTTACCCTTGATAAATGTTACAATGTTTTACACATTCCTGTTGGCGAATAAAATAACGGCAAGAAAAGCACTGGAAGGGTCCTGGGCCCCAGCAGCCTACATTTGAACAGAACGGATGACAAACTTGTCCTGTAGCAGCTAAAAGATAGAACCAAGTGAATATCAGTACACCAGAAATGAGAAATGTGCAAGTCACAGTTTCAATTTATTTAAACAGTTGCAGATTCTGAATTGTGTAAATCCAAGCAATTGCCAAAATCCAGAAAATCACCTATCCAGGAACCAGTGATAATGCTAGTATCCTACTGTATATGATACCATCTGTAAGTATTCCAAACTGCCTGATTTTGATGATGCATGCAAGAAACTTACATTGCTTTTCAAAGTCTCACACAACTTCAAGTCTCTTTTCAAATCTAATCTTATCAAAAAAATTTAATGCACGCATTATGGACCATATATTGCTCAGGAATAATATGGTAGCAATGAAACCGAACAGACATGCCAGTAAGTTTCATCAGTAAATAATTTCTTTTGCTGGACAGAATATAGGAACTTTTGGAAGACAGAATAATTGCCTGCATGAACATGCACATTTGTACCAGTTACACTTACACACAGCTAATTGCTCACAGGAATAGCAGGAAATAATTAAAGAAAAGGGACTCCCTTTAAAATGAAGAAAGGAAGAGTTAGGCAGAGTGTAGCAGGAACAGGAGAACTCAGTAGGCCCAGAGGCTATATTGTAATGTTCTGTGAAGAAGTCTGGACTTGACTGTGCTCTTCAGAAGCTGAGTGTCCTTGCTTAACTATTCCAAGAATTTATTTTTTAACTTTCAATTTAAAATATTCAAAGTAGGCAATCCAACCAACTAAGCTATAAAATAAGTCAAATTACTTGCTAAAAATCCATATTAAAAAAAAATAACAGGAAAATCAAATAGCATCAAAATTTATCATTATTACATGATGTTATTCAAGAAAATATAGTAAGCTTGGCAGTTTGGTATCATGTAAATGCTTTTGGGTAAGCATTCCACAATTGGAGCTTTATTACTTAAAAACACTCTTTATTACCCATATAAGCAGAATAGTGCCAAGGACATCTCCAGAAACAGGGACCTGAACAGCCTGATGTGCAAATGATGTCATTCATCAGATGTTTGGAGACAAGCAACCCAAGGCATGGTTGTATAGTAAGGCTATGCAAACTATTTGGAGAATGTTTTATGCAATGAGTGAAGGGTTCTTCTAAACCAGTGTTTTTCAAACTTGGCAACTTTAAGATGTGTGGACTTCAGCTCTCAGAATTCCCCAGCCAGCATGCTCTAAACACTGCTCAAACCTATTTGCTTAAAGCACCAAAGGGACTGTGTTTTTCAAAAATCCTGATCTAACCATTCTGAAGTCCTTTCCCAGTTTCCTCAGCATGTGTGTACATTCACAGAAGACACCTCTGTCAGTGGTGTTGGCAAAGTGATGTGAAAAGCCTGGCAGAACTGGCTTCTGTACATGTGCATGTATGCTCCAAAGGCCAGCAAAAGCCTTGAAGTAAGACTGTGAATGTTTGCACAGCTCAATTGTACAGATAAATGCAGATATTAACATGATGAACCATTTGATGTGATTCAATTTAACAATATAAACAGATTTTCAGAAATATGTATCATTCCCAGTTAAACAAATGAACCTTATGAACATACCACATTCACTTTCATTTCTGTTTTTGTTTATTCTTATTTTCTGTTTTGGTGTTACAAAAAGTTTATTCCAATCCAACATGTTGCCATAGCAGAGGTGGTTGTTTTTCAAAATGGCAACATCTCCATCGCTTACTTCCTTGAGAGCCCGTAATCCCAATGATTTTATATTCAAGTTGATGACTGCAAGAGCATATTGACCTCTAAGGTAGAAAAAGATTAAGAAAATATATCAAGGAACAAGAGTCACAAAAGGGAAGAATGAATTGTTATGTTGTTTTCTAATTGTATGTATTAGATTTAGAAGACTGCCCAACTCCTTAGGACTGTGGGCAGCGTACAACAGAAAAATATAATAAAAATATTTGGTCTGTTTCAACTGAAGCTCTGTAAGTTAATAGTAAGAGCAGAGGTGACTTATTACTGGCAGGGGGAACTCTGATCTCCTGGCATGTTCACAGCTTCCAGACATTCTTTCTTGTTTCTTAGTCTGCAATGATTATCTAGAAGTAAGTATTACATTGCATACTTCAGAATTACTAGCCATAAAGCAATTTCAGTTTCATTGCAGTTCTCCAACTTTCGTAGCAAACAGTGGTACACTCCAATTCAGAGAGAAAAAAATAGCTGGCCAGATAATAAAAATTTGTGGAATCCAGTCTGCTATGAGTTAGGAGGAAAAGCCCATATCTAAATTTTTCAACTGACCTATTTATTTAAAATGTACTTAAGTGGAAACATTTCTGAAGATATTCTCAGTCAGTGACAGAATACAGTTAGTACAGGGGACCCAATACAGATTATGCATCTATTTGCTTGGAAGCTGCTTTAACATTCTGCCCCCAGCGTGGTCATAATCCCTATCAGCTCCTCCCCACCTTGCAATTTACATTTAAGCAATTTCAGCTGCAGGTTTGAGGCCCTGGCAGAAAAGTGAAAGGTTAAAAAGCTTCTGTACCTACCATATCATAGATAACCTTTTTCTCACTGTCTCCTTCTTTTAAGAAGGATGAACAACTTAAAATGGGAATGGGAGAATAAGTGAAACAGGACTATTTAGTCCTGCAGATTGCTGAATCTGGTGGGTATCGTTCTAAATAGCAACTTTGATAGAACTTTGATAGAAGCCACAAAGAAGAGTGAATTAAACATTTCAAACCATCTTAGAAAAAAAGAAGGAAGTGGTGGCAATATTGCTGATATATGCTACTTTCAACTAATCTGCAATCTAGCGAATGACCAATGACAATGATCTGTTCTTTTTAAAATATCACAACTACATGTAAGCATAAGTTCTTGGCATGCTGCTGTACTTACAATTGTTTTGTTCTACCTCGTATTACTTTCAGATTTTCAAAGCTACTCAAATCAGTGGCATTTTCAGGCCAAACCTGGATCAATAGAAATCCTAAAACAAACAAACAAACAACATTTACAAAGTATTTTTGACAAACAAGAATGTCTTTTCTCTTCTCCAATTTTTATGAGAACATCAATATGAATCATGAGATTTCAGGAAGCTTCAGCAGAGAGCTATTTTAAACCTCACTTTGTAAACAGTTTACATGCAGGCCACCGAGTCAGCTAAACAGTGTGAAGGCTGGGCTGTACAGACTTAGCTGTCTGAGCCAGTACAGAAAGCCCAGCTCTCCTTAGCAACTTCCCTGGGAAACTGGACCATTTTGTGGAGTGCTCTGATCCTTATTTCCTTTACTAGATAAGGCCTTTCTAGAAATGTAGAAAATGGAAGATGATCATGGGAGCTTAATATTTTGGAAAAAACCTTAAATGGGGCATCTTTTTGCTAAAGGAAGAATTTTCCCCTTATTTCTGTAATTTTCAGCCCATTTTCCTAAGCTAACAAGAACATGCAAATTTCTTATCCAACAGTCTCTGAACAACAAGTTAAAAAGACTGTTGCACAAAGAATCTTGGCTATAGAAGTACACTGGCCAGCCCATTGAAATGGATGAGCTGCTATAAACGTACCTTTCAAATTGAAAAATATCTAAATAGAAAAATGTCCAAGTATCGCAGGACAGTATTTACTTGAGTGTGATTTGAACAGTTAAGTATAATGGTTAAATCTAGAAGGTTTAACCAAGTTCCCTATGATGAACACACATGTATTTGTGCTGCTCCAGAGACTGAGGATATGGCACATATATTACTTAATATTATTATTAGCCTTCCCACAGAGTTTTGTTTTCTATATCTTTGATAAATGTTCCCTCACTTCTTCAACCAAGTTATTAATAAAAATGTTGAAAAACAGAGGCCTCATGAATGAATAAGACCCAGGCTAATTACTCAATACATTTGGTGAGGATCCTTTGATGAGTACTCTTTCAGAATAGTTTTTAAACAGTTTTACAATCTAGTTAGTATTAAATATTTAGGTTTTTTTTAGTATTCTACTTGTTGCATTCATAGTGTTTAGGAGACTGAACCTTTTATTTACTTCTCTTGATCATCTAGAAAATGTTTGTGTATCTTAATTGACCCTTGCAACTTCTTACAAAACTTGTATAAAATGTTGGTCAGTGACCATAATAATGATACCACAAAGTCAGCTGTGTCTCCACCTGGTACAAATACCATGTAGCCCATTCTTAACTAGCTTACTACTGAGAACGTCATAGGGCATTTTGTCAAATGCACTGCTTATGTCAAGATAAATTTTGTCCACAGCATTCTTACAAACTACTAAGTAATTTTTAAATCAAAAGCATGAAATAAGGTTAGTATAACATTTGTTCTTAATAAGTCCATGCTATTTCTAGTATGCATGGCATTTACTTCCAAGTTACTTATGATCACTAACAGATTATTTTTCCCAAATATTGATGTCAAACTGGCTATTCTATAGTTCCATCGATCTTTCCCCCACCTTTTGAAGATAAGAAAAAAACCATTTGCCCTCCTCTGGCACTACACCTATTTGCAGGGTTTCTTCAAAAGATAACAAATACAGGTAGTCCTTGATTTACAACCATTCATTCACTGACTGTTTGAAGTTACGATGGAGCTTAAAAATGGACTTACGACCAGTCCCCAAAGTTATGGCCGTTGTAGCGCCCCACAGTCACATGATTGCAATCTAGGTGCTTGGAAACCTGTTTGCACTTACAACTGGTTGCCAAGCACCCTGCCATCAAGTGATCACCCTTTGGAACCTTCCCTGCCAGCTTCCTACAAGCAAAGTCAAAACCAGTAGGGGAGGTCGCAAGTTGCTTTAATAAGTGTCCCCCACCCACCCCAGGACAATTCTGACCACTCCAAAGTGTCCTATTTCTGTTCTTGTATACAAGCTGTTAGAAAAAGGATAGCTAGCAGAATGGCATGGCCAAGGCATTAACGCATGTGCAAAGGGGCTTCTTGGCGCACTGCAGAAGCCCAGCCTCAGCCCAGCCTCAGCCCAGCCCAGCCACTCTGGGGTGGCTGAGGCTTCCAGGGTGGCTGCAGCTTCATGCTGTGGCTCAGGGCACCAAGAAGCCCCTGAGCTGCAATATGGCAAGTGGCCCCAGAGCCACATGATTCTGGGGCTGCTTGCCATTCCACAAGGCGGGGTGCAAGATGGCCTAAAGGGCAGAGATGGGAAGGGAGACAGGCAAATGGGGGGAGTTGGAGGCAGTCCCTTACCTTACTGAGCCTTGGGGCTGGGAGGGACCAAGCCCAGAATGGCTTGGATTGACATAGGTCCTCAGCTAATGACCGGTAAAATTTGCTTAATGAAGGCGAAGGGCATTGCTGGGGTTGCAGTCACTAAACAATGCAGTCTCGTGATGTCTTGCTTTTCAACCACATTGTTTAGTGATGGAAATTCCAGTCCCAATTGTGATTGTAAATTGAGGACTACCTGTACTCCTTTTTGTCTTACTATCTCTTGCTATGGAATCTTTTTCTTATTTCTGAATTCATTAAAATCTGCTTTCTTGAAGTTCAAGGCATGTGCTTGACTATACTCAGACTTAGTTTTTCCTTACTGTCATGATTTTCAGCATTACATGGTTATTGTCTTCCAAAATGTCAAACATTTCCACACTGTTCACTAAGTTAGTATCAAATCAAGGATAGCTGATGCCTTTGAGTTATCCTACACCCTCTGAATGACAATGTTGTCAACAAGACAGATTAGAAATTTTCTGGAAAAATGTGCCTGTCAGTTTGTCTCCTTACAAGTATCAGGGTTGTTACAGTTTCCCATTATATTACTAACTGATGCACTTTGAAAAAATCTGCATTTTGCTTTTGGAAAGCCTAATCCACATCTTCACTTTGGTTGGTAATAAATCCAAAAAAGGTTACTTTTATTTCTTCTTTTAACCCAGATTAATTTCATAAAGTTCATTCCCTTGACTCTGTGCACAATGAGGATTTTTTTAAACATATAGGAGAGCTCCTTCCTTTTGATCATGCCCTTTCAATTCCTTCTATTCCATTTGACACAACTGTTCAATCGTAGTATTCCAATCGTGAGAATTATTATACTTATAGAATCATATTTACCTTCCTGTAATGAGTTCAAAAGAGATAGAGAACCTTGCCTTTGATCTTAGAGATGCAACCCTCAGGGCATACTGCTGTCCACTGAACACCTTGCTGCAGCGTTGTTGCAATACCAACAATAGCACAACAGATGCCCATGTCCTATGCTTTGTGCATCATTTCATCTAAAGTTCTCAGGTAAGTCCCATCCCTGTGATCTGCCTCTGCACAGAGGGACAGTAACACACAGGATGAAGAAGACTCTGAGCTTCTCCAGAACAGGCCAGCATACAGGAGGAAGGGAGACAGGACCTGCCAATCCCTTCTACCTCTGCCCCACAGGATTTGTCTAGTGATCTCAGAGCGCTGTCAAATAAACCTGGAGGTTGGTTTCCATAACACCTCTCCAGTGTTTCCTTTGCATGCAGGAGTGAAGTCTGAGTCTAATGGGGGAAATGTTGTAGGAAACTACAGAGAGGACCTCAGAGACATTATGCAATGGCAGTTAGCAAAACAGGATTTAAGCCTGAGACAGGAAGAAAACATTAGAAAAGAACTTAAATTGGCTCCACCTTAACTCCCTTAGGTTATAAGAGGGAAGGAAGGGAAAAAATAATCAGGCTTTCAAGATCTTGTCACTATAGTCTATATCTATTTCTTGTAGAGACTGTTTCCTGACCTGGCATACTTTGAAGGGCTGGCAGGGGCTTATACTCTATTTTTTAGTTTTTGAGTTCCCACAATGAGAGTACATATCTACAACTTCTTTCAGGTCGTTATTGGCATCCACTGGGGTTTGTCCTATGTTTTGATTCCCTTCCTTGTAGACATTGCTTTTTCTATTAAGTCCTACTATAGTATCCTTTTTTTGTTTGTTTGTTTGTTTAATAAATCTTCATCTGTGCTTAGGAGTTGGAGTGTGGTCATTTGCTGCTCCAGTCTGGTTACTTCTTTTTAACACCATTACAGTACAAACTTGTACTTGGGCAAATATATCTTTTTTGTTCTTTCCTAATCTCTGACGTTAGCCAAGTATACACTGACAATTTAGAAGTAAAATGTATTAGGGCCTTGAACTCCATTGCCAAATTGCTGTTGGTCCTTTCTATTTGCTTACTTAGTGTTGCACAACTGCCAACATGTCATTGTACTGTGCGTACTGCAGCATGCAAAATTTATTTATTTATTGCTTTCCTTGCCCCATCATAAATTCTGTCCATCTCTCAAATCCTAAAGGACATTAGTATCTGGAAGTAAAATAGTGTTTGCCACAGTGGGAGAAGTTTTCCTCTAATAAAAATACGTCAAATAATGATTAACCCAGTTAGCTTCCTATTGGTTTACTGAATCTGTTATTGATAGATAGCAAATTATGTTGCAGTAAAAATACCTTGAAAAACTTAATCTGTATTTATCATTCTGTTCCTGGATTGTAATGATTAGATCAAAAGGTCATCAGCATTCAGGAGGATTTTAGCCTATCCATGTAAGTCTTATGCTATATTCCCTGATTTGATCTAATCATTACAATCTGTATTCCCATTTATAGATGAATCCCACATATGATATTGAGACACAGTTTCTTTTTCTGGATGGCTTTATAAATTCCCTGCCCTTTGCAGAATATAAGGAATGGAAAGTTGCTTCTCACTGTGGATTTCTCTTTAGGCACAATGCCACAATAAGATTTGAAAATAAAATTCTATTCTCATTGTTTATTTCAGCTCTACAGCAATTTTTCTAAAACTAAACTCCTTGCTGGGAACACTTAGGGAGCTTTTGAAAATAACATATTTTATAGATTTCAGCTCTGCAGAAGTTTTTAAAAATAAAATATTATCCTAGATAGGGGACACCCTTGCCTGGAGCACTAAAACAAGGCTTGGAAATAACAAAACCTTATAATATATAGATATACAAGCCAATCCACACATGGAACAGCCGGTTTCAGGAGGCTGTGACTGAGCCAAAACACATCTGTTTTGGGTATTTGGTCTATGCGCAGAACGAAATGGAGCTTTTTTGCTGCATTTTTTGTTCCAAGCATAGAATGAAACAGAGCTGTTCTATTCCATGCAGGGGGAAGCAGGAAGCAAGGCAAGGACATCATTCAGGGGATAGTGAAGGGAAGGTGGTGGGAAGCTGGAGGGGCAGGTGAGCTGGTGGGATATGCTGCATGTGGATATCACTAGCAGCTGAGAGGAGAGACTATGCAGGGGAGATTGTGTAGGAGAGTAGGCTGGTGCGATATGCTGGCTCAGGATATCGGTGGGCAGTTGATAGGAGGGAGGAAGGGAGAAAAGCAAAGGTGTTGAGAAGATGGGATAGATCAATGGAATATGCTATGCTGGGGGCTGTGGAGAGAGAATGTGACATAGGCTTGCCCTGGTTACCTTACCTGGATTTTGCTTTGCCTGAAACCCAGAAGAACCAAACTGGTCCAGATTAGGGTTTTATTGACCCAAAATATTTCTGTAGAGTTCTGGAAGCACTGGAAGGAATTTCTTATATTTTCAAGTTTTCCTTCCCACTGTAAAACCTCAGATTTTCCTGGGAAATATTTGGGGGCAAACTTGGACTGTTTACTTGGTATGCTATGATTACATTGTTGTATTGTATGAATGGGGTTGGATACCCAAGGACATCGGGCTCATTGTTTGAGAATTATCCTAATATCCAGCCCCCAGGATCTTCCCTTGGGACCTGGTTATTGGATCCACGGTGGCCCTTGACTCTGGCTGCTGCTGTTGAATGCCAGATCGGTTTTCAATAAATCTGTGCTCATTCATGTGGCTGAGGCGGCCAACCTGGCTTGGATCACTGAGACCTGAGTGGGCCCAGAGTGGGTGTTCCCATCTTGAAAATGTGCCCACTTGGTTTCAGGTCTGGCACTAGCTGAGACACTGGGGACGGGAGGTGGTATGGCTGTTGTCATCCATAAGTCGTGGGCTTTCAGAGGTTCTGCTCAACAAATAACTAGATGCAAGACTCTCTGGTTGAAGTTGGGCTCTAAGGAACAGTTGGGACTGCTGCTGGTATATCTTCTTCCCTGCTGCCCAGTATCATCCCTGCCTGAGCTGTTGGATTCTGTTGCTGGGATGGGAATAGAGACACGAAGGCTTGTGGTACTTAGGAATTTCAATTTGCCTCTTGGGAATGTTGAGTCTGGGGCAGCTCAGGAGTTAATGGCCTCCATAGCAACCATGAACCTGTTCCAGGTCATCACGAGCCCAACACATACCAGGGGCTATGCTGTAGGCCTACTTTTGTCTCAGGGCAGCTGTGAAGTTATCTGGTTTTGAAGGACACCATAATCAGTTTGTTGTATTAGTCAAATCATTCTCTGGTTGCTTTTTGGCTTGCTGGTGTCACTTCACCTCACAGGAAAAAGGGCTTCTTAGATCAGCTTGCCCCAGGCCCAGCTGGATTTCAGAGGGAGCTTGAGGTTTTCCCTGAAGATCTGGTGACAGTTTGGCTGAGGCCTTGGATGCAGCCTGAAATGGGCAACTGGCAGAGGCCTTAGACTATTGTGCCTATGGGGCTTCTTCCCTTGCACTGGTCCCAGAGTGTGCCTTGGTTTTCTGAGAAGCTCTGGGAGATGAAGCACAAGAAGAGATGCCTAGACTGCCATTAGGGGAAGATGAAGAATGAATCCGATCAACATGGGTAAGAAGTCCTTTGCACAGCTTCATCAGGTGCACCCACTGCTTCCTTTCCTGGACTGGGAGGCCCTTCTGATAGTCACTCATGTCTCAGTCACCTTTTTATTTGATTATTGTAATGCACTTTACCTGGGCTGCTCTTGAAGACCACTCTGAAGCTACAGTTGGTTTAGAATGCTATGGTGCAAGCAGTGATGGATGTGTCATGGTACAGACATGTGTCCCTGTTGTTTTGTGACAGACGCTAGCTGCCAGTTGGCTTCTAGGTGCAATTCAAGGTCCTGGTTACTCCCTATAAAGCTATTTCATGGCAGAGGTCCTGGTTACTTGACGGACTGCCTGTTTCTCTATGTTTCTGCCTGTCCAGTGAGGTCAGATACAGTGGGTATGCTCCAGGTCCTGTTGATTAAGCAGTGTCATATATAGGACTGAGAAAGTATGCCTTCTCACTGATGACTCTTGCCCTGTGGAATGATATCCACCCCATCCCACCTAAAAATGCATCCTGTTCCCATTCTTTTGACTTTCCACAAATTGTTAAAGACCTAGTTGTTCTCCCAGGCCTGGGACTAGGATGGTAGTTGAGCCCCTTTAGCTTTTTTGGTTCTGTTTTCTGGTCAGCTATATTCTTTTTTTAAAATATATATGTTCTTTTAATATTTTTTTTTTAAATGTAATTGTAAATTGCTCAGATTTGCTGTAGAGTTGGGAGCCTCAAAATTAAATGAATGAATGAATGAAATATATGCTTAAAAGACCACCTAAAATATTTAAAAACATGTAAATAAATAAGATACTGTGCTTTAAAACATCTTACTAACCTGTGATTTCTTTAACAGTTTTAAAAATATCCAACTTCCTTACTTCCAAAGGAGGTGTATTTGTGTATTCATCACTAGAAAAGAACAATTGAATATTTGACTAATGATGTAATAGATCTTGAGTGCATTTTATGTCTCACATTTGATCCATCAGCAACTTACCCAAAAAAGGATGCATGCAGAAATATGAGATCACCATTGATTGTGGTACAGTTCTTGAAATAATCGATATTGGATTGATTCACTGCAAGAACACCTTTCAATTCACCTATCCCAATTCCACTGCACACTGGGAGAAAAGAAAAATACAATGTTAAGAATGTTTCCAGGGGATTTCATGTGGGATTAAGGATTAGAATCACACATAAGAACAAAGCAACAACAGGCTCACACAATTAATTAGATGTGAACCAAGGAGAAAAGGGATAAACTGCATTTGTTACAAAATAACTTTATCATGGGTCATCTTCTTCATTGATTCTATTTTATTTAATGCAATTATCAAATCTTTACAACTAATAAATCATCATAAAGAGTCAGATATATAGAAACAATTTACAACATTAATCTATTTCAATTCATTTTAAATTTCAATGCAAAATTCCTTTATAATATTCCCAAGAGCATAAACCCATATATTGCCTTATATTTTTATCTTTAAAATCCATAATAATTTTTTTTTCTAATTCTCCATGGATTTTCTGACAAATGTATGTCAATATTAATCAATTTCATCCTACATGTTGCCTGTACGGTAAAATTCAAAAAGATAATGTAACTACATTTTTCCATTTGTATCTATTTGATGCTTGCTGCATCCCTAAATATTCTTGCATAACTATATTTTTCAGATTACCATATTACACAATTTTAAACATGATTTACTATTTTATTCCATATTAAATTATATTTTCATATTTTAAAAATAAATGAGATTGGCTTGTTATGTATATATTTATTTGCAAAATGTACAAGGCTGCCAAACTCTTCACTGACTTTGGGTGGCATACAGTAAAAGCAATTTAAAAAGTACAATTACAAAAAACTCCAAAATCAGAAAGAAAAAGCAAGCAGTGAGAAACAATCAAACAGACAGGACTTGCTACCCACTCTAGGAGCCAAGCTTTCAAGCCTCTTTTAAAAACATTTAGGGTGGAGGCCAGATGTATCTCGGGAGAATAGTGTTCTTACACTTCCAATAAATAGCACTCTATTTAAAATGTGCTCTTTTAAACCCATTAAGATATTGGTCCAGGACCAGAGAGACCTAGATTCAAGTCTATCCTCAGCCACAGAATACTGGGTGATTTTCAGATCAAACCACCACAAAGAATTTTTGTTGTGTGAAAAAAATGGGAGGAATGTAGCATGATGCACGTAGCTTTTTGCTCCTGAAGGAAAGGCAGGAGATTAATATTTATTTATTTATTTATTTAAAACATTTATATAGCCACCCATCTTGTACCAAACCCTGGACAGCTCATCACCAACAGATAAAACAACATCTATTTACAATAAAAAATATTAAAGTCACAAATATTAAAACCAAAACAAACAAACAAACAAAAAACTTGCCGCCATAGCTAAACTTTCACATGCAGCCCACAGCAAGTTTATCTCATCAATCTCACCCTATTCCAGCACTTGGAGGAAAAGCCAGGTCTTAATGCTTTTCGGAAGGTTAAAAGGTTGGGGGCCTGCTGAACCTAAGGGGGAAGGGTGTACCGTAGGAAAAAGTGTGCTTCCTAGGTCCCCTAAGAAGGTAACATTTAAGGGAGGGGAATATGAGCATGCCCACTCTATCCAATCTGGTAGGATAGGCAGATGTCCTTAGGGACATCTTAATCTTACACAATAAGGAGTTTACCAAGTAAGTAATTTGGTTCAGTACTGTAGGCTAAGTGTCACACAGACTTCAGATCACATCCTATTCTATGTCTTCTGAAATGCTACATTCCCTACATTTATCTCCCATTTACTTCGGTAGGCACCAAGATTTTTCTGGCCATAACTAGAACGTATAAGCTGTCCAAAGTTCCGTTTAATAAATTCCCAAATAATAATTTATTTTACTTTTACTTTTTTTTAACAGAGCCACATGATCATAGAAATATCTGGTACACATTACATTGTAACATCTTTTACTTATATCAACTTATACTAGCAATGCCAGTTTACTTCAAGAAAAAGCAGGCCAATTAAGCTCTAGCATTATTTGTCATTTCATTTACAATGAAATAGGGACTTGCAGTGGGATGATCAAGTGCAAAGTAATGTTGACAATACGAATAGGAATCCCTCCAAATCATAAATGTTTAGGTTATTCTGACAATCTTGTTTTATTTCATGTTGATATCTTTCATAGTTTTTTTGAGGACTGGGGCTTGGTGCTTTTCATTCACTTTCTTACTTAAAGGATCCACTCAACAGGAGCTGTGATCAGACAGGACACATATTTATTAAGTCTTTTACAATGAAATATTTTATCCTGCTTTCCACTTAAAAGGTGGTGTAATGATACCACTTCAAAATGGCCAAATCAGAACAATTCAAACATCAGTAAAACCAAAATTACTGCAATGAAATGGATACAGGCAGAAACATTCGTCAGAGTAGAAAACTGGAGACATAATAAAAGACGCAAGATGGCAATAAATTTTGAATAATCAGGGGAATACCTTAACTGGTACATTAAACTTAATGATGTAAGACCTGTTTTCCAAAGTCAGAATATAAGGCACAGAATAATGGATTTAAGTTATAAGAACACAGATTACAATGAAATATTAGAAGTACAGGTAGTCCTCACCGACAGTAATTTGGATCGGGAATTCCATCACTAAGCAACATAGTTGTAAGGCACAACATCACGTGACTGCACCAACTTACGACAGCATCTCCAGCAGTCCCAGTTGCTATTGTTAGGTGAATCACATACAGTTGCAATGTCCCACAGTCACATGATCACCATTTGCAACCTCCTGCTGGCTTTCCCATTGGCTTTGCTTGTTGGAAGGCAGCAGTGAAGGTTGCAAATGGCAATCACTTGACCATGGGATGCTGTGACATCATAATTGTGAGCTGGTTGCTGAGCGCCTGAATCATGATCACATGACCCCAGGGATGCTGCAACGGCCACAACTACGTGGACCTGTCGTAAGTACTCTTCATTCAGCATCGTCATAAGTTTGAACAGTCGCTGAATGAGTGGTCATTCAGTGAGGACTACCTGTAAATTCTTAACAATAGGAACAGTTTGATGGTGAAATCAATTGGTGGAAAGCTTCCTTTCCTATCTTCAAATGGAGAGTTATAGCCATCTTTCAGGGATCCTTGACATTAGATTCTCTGTTGCAACTGGCTGTTCTCTAGAATACCATTTCCCTTTGTTTGGCCTTTACCCTGACTGTGTTTAAAGGTGCTTGAAAACCTGGCTGTTCCCCAGTCCTTGGTTACACTGAACAGTGGGTCTTCTATATTGTATTATTTTAGAATGACTATTTCTTCTTCCAGACATTTTTTAAAATTGATATTTTAGTAATGATTTTATTGCATCCTGCCCAAAGCAACAATGGAGTTGGGTGGCCTTACAAATATAATACGTAAGAAACTGATTTTTGTATTGAGCAGGGGGATGGATTTGATGGCCAAATGGTCCCTTCCAACTCTATGATTCCATGATATGGTTGTAACATCAATTTGCATGTTAATATGTAGTATTAACCACAGCTTCAGTTAACATTATACATTTACCAAAATGATTAAAGCTTCTGTACCAGAATTTGTATTAATATGAAGTGTCTAGTATTAGCAGTGATCCTGTGACTAATGGGATGTTGCATAATTTGATTCTCTATCTTTCATACCTTTGCTACAAGGGCCATCACATTTTTTACACTTTCGAATGCCATTCTGCTCAACTTCTGTAGAGTCTGCATTACATGATCGGACACATGAGCCATGATCTGTTACTACATAGTTATCTGGAAAAATTAGGGAGAGAGAGGAAAAAACAACAGGCATAAGAGAAAAAAAAGGAGACTTGTCACAGAATTTGCATTATTTATTTGACTGATATAATTTTCATTTCCAGCCAAAATTTATATTCTACAAAAAAAGATACACAACATACTCCCTTAAATCAACTATAAGCCAACCAATATAAATGGCACACAATTTTAACAAGTCTTAATAAATTTTAAAAATTGGCAAATATAAACTTCAGAATGGACTGATGTGCAAAATAACCTCACTAGTAATTGAGCAGCTATGTGCATATTTTCATAGGAGAGGATTCCCCATAGCCTTTGAAACATTTTAATGAATTATAAATATACATTTAAAAGTTCATTAGATTCTTTGTACCAGGTCCTTCATGAAAAAAACAGAACTCATTTGTCTTGAATGAAACCTGAGACAATTTTTGAAAGCATGTCAGGAAAGAAGGAAGGAAGGAAGGAAGGAAGGAAGGAAGGAAGGAAGGAAGGAAGGAAGGAGGGAGGGTATTTTCCCCAAATTCTCTTCTCCTTTGAATGAAATCTCAAAAGTAAATTCTCTTTCTTCAAACTGAATGGGATTCATTCAGATACACAGTGGTCAATCTTTATGGATGGATATTTTTATGAATAAATTCCTTCAAAAGGTCTTCTAATATTTCATTTATTCTCACAACAGTGTAGCACTGCATACCTAGCACTATGCTCATGATTCTTCATTCTACAATGGACAGACGAGCGCACATAAGTATCTTCCTGAGGTCCGAATTTGGAGTTAATATGAAGCATCCCAAATAAAAGGTAGAAAGAAACTTAACTAGTTTTGTTAAGTATATTTATTTAACATAAATAATAATATTTATTTAACTTACGTGGGCAGTTTTTCACACAGGTTGCCCCAAAACTGTACTTTCCTTCTGGGTTGTCTTCCAACTGATAGGTATAGGGATTGTATATTTGCAAAGCTGGGCAAGACTCCTTGCAAGTTGCATCATCCCAAAACTTGAGACATGCCTGTAAAAAAGTAATCCAATAATATACACAAAGAACCATGTTTTGTTTTAACATAACAGGAAACAGCAGCAATAGATCTTAAACAATTAGGTAAGACTGAAATCAGTCTTCAGAGACTCAGTATTCCATTCATCCAAACATTAATGTAGTGTTTTGGGATTTATTCAGCACCATCAATATTTAAACTTAGGTCATCACAATATTCTATTAAAGGAGATCATTACAATTTCACTCAGTGGAAATAGTCCAATGCTAAGATGAGACCCAATTCTATGTCTGGAATCCTAAACTCCTTTTCTTGCATACACTTCTCACCTCCATGTATAAATAGCTCAGATCAAGCTTGTGAGTGAAAGGTAAATGCATCATCAACTGAGTAGATGATTGTTTTGGTTGGAAGCTGGTGATATAATGCACTCATTTTACCTACTGGCAGATGATCCATTCAGTGAACCCTGATAGACTACCCAAAATATGTTTAGCTGAACAGATAAGTATGGCTCATCCCATCTCCTGGGTAAGTCAATTTAGCAAAGTTATTTTCCAGCATGGATTTTCCAGCTAATATTTACTCTCAACTGCCTCCCAGGCAAAGGAAAATTTTGAACAGGGAGTCCTAGATATCAGTGCCCAAACAGACATGGAGTTATTGGCAAAAAGTAGATCTTTAAACTGGTTGGCTAAGAACAAAACCACTTTCCTAATAGAAAAATACCTGTCAACAAGTTTGATGCACTTTCTAAGAAGGGCCTATTCTAGAGCAAGATTTGAGTTGTTGTATTCCATGACCAAATATGGGTGCTTCCATCACTTGCCATATCATGAGAGGATGTGTATACGCGGTGCTCCAGCCATCAAAGATATTGCTCATTTTATTTGATTGTCAACTGTATGCCCCTTTTAGGCTTAAATATTGTCCTATTTCCTACTGGACTCCAAAGTATACACTGTTAGCAGAACTGCTAGGCAGTTAAGCTAAGAATCCATTATATTGAACAGATCAGGGTATCTTGTAAAGGCAATGTATTTTTCTGAACATTGATTGTTTGCACTTAGTACTTACATATTTTATTATTGTATTTTCTTTTACCTATTTTACCTATTATTTTTTTATATGGTCATAAGATCGATCTATCGATCTATCGATCTATCATACTTTTCAGTTATCCCTTTATTCTTTCTTTCTTGAATTAATATCACATTTACAAAATAAATATTTTATGCTGATTATCTAATATAAACTTTTGCTACCAGAAGTACAGAATAAAAGTTCATGCAAATTAAAAAAAATTAAATTTAATATGGAAATTACTAATAATAGCTAGGATAATTATAACTAAAAGAAATGGTAGTCAACAGATTATGTGGAGATATAATCTTTCTGCATTTTCTGGAATACTTTAAGAATAAGACTAAAGCATAAGGTTTTGTTTTATGTTTTATATATTTGTCGTATTTCTTTTCATTGTTTTGTTCTCTATTTATTGCAGAACACTTGAAAGAAATCTAGGCACTCTAACCTAATTTGATTTTTTATTTCCTTTGTTATATTGTTAAAGTGTTACGCAAGTTTCTACAGCTTCCTTACCAAGCAATCACTTTCTTTAGGACCTGTACATCCTGCTGCGCACTGAGTATGACAGCAGTCACTTGGCAACTTTCCTTTGCATCGACCTGAGCACTGTGCCGCACAGTCAATCTTAGTTACTGAAAGTTAAAAATACCGTAAGTTAAACTACATTATTTTTGCAAATTAAAAATATGCAATAATTTGCAGAAAACGTATATAATATTTGACTGGGCCACCATTTTGTTACACCATTTCTTTACGAGAACCTGAAACCAATGGAAACAAGATTTACATGTCTATTACATTATACAAAATAAGCATAAATCAGCTGGTCATTATGGTATAAGAGAACAGAGCAGAAGATGTAAAAAGTCTACTTAATGAAATATTACACATTAAATCACTACCCTATTTCAAAAGAAAAAAAGAAAAACAATATATATTCTTACATGTTTGGCAATTCTCTTCGCCAGCGCCCCAACAGTGCCCTCTTGTGCAATTCGCATGACAATGAGGACCTAAGGGAAAACAATTACAAAATGCCTCTGAACATAATGAATGGATTCATGCTGGTTTTTATGGAAAGCTTGTTTTATGGGGGAAAAAATTAAGCAAGGGAATAACTGTTGTCAGTTTTGAATTCATGTGCCAAGCACTATGAAATCCAAAACCTGGGGTTTTAACCAATTGCCAAATCTTTCATGCTTTCATATGGATCTCCATAAGGTATTATCGCTCACAACCAAATGATCAGTGATGTCATGAATATTCATAGTTGAAAACTGGGCCCTTAAATAAAAATATTTACAAAATGTATGCCCTGCATTTAAACTGTATATTAATTCCTAAGGGTAGGAATAAATATCAGCAAAATAAATAAAAGCTGTCTATGTCAAGGAAACCACACATTTTCTTTGGGGATTTTTTCCTTCCAAATTTAAGAGACAACTACATTTTTTTACTTTATAAAGAAATCAAACTATAATTTTAGTCTTATGCTGCTGGGAATTCTGGGAGTTGTAATCTCAACAATTTGGAAGGTATTAATTTGGGATAGCTACCAACTCTATATCATGAATTATTCCATATCATGAAGCAGAAAAATAACTTTAACTTCCTGACTTACTATTTCTATAGAAATGAAAACAGTGAAGGTATGCACAGTTGCTAATGAACAAAAATGAATGCTGTGGGATCATTACAAATGATAGTACAGAAGTCTGTTGTGAGAATCATGATAAGCCTTGGTTTTCTATGTTCTACCCTTCCTTAGACAATGAAAAATGATTTAAGAAATAGCATAGTCCAAACAAAGGGAGGTGAATGATATTGAGAGCAGAATATTTAATAGAAGGAAGGAGAGTTGTGAAGGTTTCAGCATTTAACACAAATAATATGGATAGTGTTTTTTTTTAAATTACATATAGGGAAAGATTATTATTTTGCAAACATTTTAGTGCAAAGAAGAACAAAATAAATAATCAATAGACCCATATATGTTTTAAGATGCTTAGCAATATAGGTCATGAGCCCAAATTTCTGACCTGTATCTATCCAAACAAAGTATAGAAAAAAAAAATAGAGGTAGATAATTTGTCAAAAATGCAGATTTAATTTGAAAAGAATTGGCAAAACAGAAAGAATGATAAAATTCAGTGCATGAACAAAGCATAAGCATGTTTAATATAATAATTAATATAGTATATTTTCACTAGTTGATTTGTATCCATGCTCAAATTCTACCAGTTTGCCAGTGGTAGTCTGGTGTGTGCATAACACATGCAATAATAACACATGCAAAAGTTTTTATAAAGCAAGGATTACCAAATTTGATGCTAATTCTATATTACCCATTCCTAAAACTGTATAGGAAATATTTATATTTTTGTTCTACTGTTGAGGAACTAGTGGCTTACAACATTCTCAGACTTCTAGAGAGACACCTCTGCAATTTAGAGGGCTCCAAACATTATTCCAGAAGGAGTTGCTGCAACATCCTCCTTGCTGTCAGGCTGGTCTTAGAGAGAAGCTCATATAGGAATTCTGTTTACACACAGTTCATTCTTGTACTTGCATCGACAGTATTCTAAGTATCAAGGTTTCTCTTCCAAAGAAAAGCAGCAGAGTAGGAGAGCCTCCTACAATCAGAATAATATTCCAGAAGGTTGCAGAGGTATGAGAACTTTCATTGTTTCTGCACTTCCATAGGCTAAATGAAGGGTGTGATTCAAATGGAACTGCATAGCTAACTGCAAAGTTGTTACCTAAAAAGCTAATCATCAGGTTATCTGTACATTAGATAATCCAGAGTCCTGTGAGGAAAAATGGCCTAACCCTAAAGTGTTTCCACCTCCAAAATACATAATCTGATGGAGGTAATCTGATATAGGGACTGAGAGAAGGCAGATCAGTCACAAAGGAGCACACACCCAGTCCACCTGCCATGGGCATCTTACCTAAGGCCCTCCTGAAACTTGCAGCACCACTGGAAGTAACTATTCTATGTAAATGTATGCTGTTGTACCAATAAACAACATAGAACAGGTTTAAAACTATTTCTTCTTCCCCAATTTTTCCTGTCCAGTCAAAGAATTTCTGGGATGTGGGTTGACGAGGTCTTAAGGTGATTAAAAGAGCAACCGCATGCTTCATGTAATTTAAGGCATAATATTGCTGAAAATTATAAAGGATTAATACCTCCTGCTAAGGTTGGCTATCAAATATATAGTGAAAGAGAACAAACATGCTTTCTTGAAGAATCCATTACAATTCATGTTTCTATATATGTTTCTATACTCATATACGTTTTGCTTTACAGTACAATAAAAGTATAAATTATCCCTATACCGTGCAAATATTGCAAGATACATACAAAATGTAGTTGGAGATAGTAAATCAATCACATTTTTAAGAAGAATTCATATATTCCTCTGTTAGGGAAATGCTTATTGTTATTATAAAATCACATGAAATAAACCCTGCACTGTTTCTTTAGAATTAGTTCAGTAAATGTCATGAACTGTATTTCTTCTGTGCATACTTACAGTATGTCAGTGTCTTCATTCTTTCACTAGGGTCAAACTGTACAAAACGATGAATATTATTTTTATCAAAAATGTCATCCCACAGAACATTTTCCATGCTGCAGAGGTAGGGGTTATTCCTGAACTTGACTCCTCCATTTAGAATTTCTGCCAAAAGAAATTAGGACAAAGAGATTAATGTGCACGGTTTGATCTCTATACTTTAAAAAAATCAGACAAGGATAATCATTTCAATTTATTATGATGAAAGACCATTCACAAGTTAGCAGACCACTATGATACTTTAGTCTTAAAAGCTTGGATTCAAATCCCATTTCTAAGTCCATGTCACTGCATGAACCCCATCATTTTCCACTCTTCATTTTTGCATCACATTTATATTACTTTCAGAAAAAAATATAAATAATGATTTTATTTAAAAATCAGGACAACTCGGCATATTAAATAGAATAGCATAGTGACAAACATACTAAACCAAAGGCTCAGTTAAAATTTATCTTCTGTTATTAACTTGGTGAATGTTTAAAACAATTCTCTAATTCTCATCTTGAAGATTACTATCTGTAACATGGAGATGATAATAACTGACAACTGGAATAGACAAACTATTTCCATTGGAGCCTTTCTTTATATGTAATCTGTTAGGAGCTCCCTAGAAGGTGTGAATGAAGGAAGTGAGAATTATAGTGAGAATTATAGGCAGTCCTTGAGTTACGATGGTAATTGGGTCCAGAATTTCTGTTGCTAAGGTCATAAAACATGACAACACATGACTAACATGTGACCACTCCTGGCAGTCCCAGTTGCTGTTGTTAACCGAATCCCACCAGACATTAGGCAAGGACCCACCCCGATCCAAGCCACTCCCAGCTTGGTAAGGTAAGGGACTGCCTCCTCTTCAACCCCCCACCCGCCTATCTCCACCCCCCCATTTCTGCCCTTTTGGTCACCTTGAACTCCCTTGCTGCCTTAAACTCCAATGGCCCTGCCACCCTGTCGGCCTTGCCGCCCTGTGCTCCACTGGCTCTGCCAACCTGCCAGCCCTGCGGTCACTGGCCCTGGCAGCCCTGCTGCCCCCAGCTGACCTTCACAGCCTTCCTCCCACTGTTGACAAGGCGTGCCCAGCCTGTTCCTATGTGAGGCAACTGCTGGCTGCACCAGGCCTTCCTGAGGCTGCCCGAGCTGTTCTCCAAATAGCACAAGTAGGTGGCAAGGCTGGCAGGGCTGGTAGGGTGGCAGGGTGAGTGAAGCAAAGGGCAGCAGGGCTGGCAGTGTAGTAGGGCGAATGGAGTGCAGGGTGGTGGAGGCGGTTGGGGCTTTGCGCTGTGGCACTGGGGTGGCTGGCTGTGGTGGGGGGCTTGTGATGGAATATGAGAATGACCTTGGAAGATGGGGGGGAAGAGATACTGCTTAGGAAATGGTCAGATAAAAGGGGGAGGAACCTGCAACTGAATAATGGGCAGAGAAAGAATCTTAGAAAGGACCTGCCCTAACTGATCAGGTGGTAAAAAGGGATGACGGGAGATTTGTACTTTCAGACTTGCAAGATTCTATTAACATAGGGTTACAATAAAACAGAATTAGTTCATCTTGTTGTGTTTCCTCTCTGGTCTACTTAGGAGCCTGACAGAGCTTGAGGTGGCACTCCTCAGCAGTGGCACTGAGGCTGAAGTAGAGGCTCAGGAGCAGTGGTGGCCAGCTGAGACTGCTGAAGGCCCTTACCTCTACTTCAGCCCCAGTGCTGCCACAGCCACTGAGGAATGCCACTGTGCAGGGCCACCAAAGGGTAGAGATGAAGAGGAGTTGAAGCCCCTGAGGTCGTAAGTGTGGGTGGGCTACCAAGCACCCAAATTTTGATTACGTGACCGTAGGGGTGCTGCAATGGCTGTAACTCTGCAGAACCGGGTGTAAGTACCATTCATTCAGCACCGCCATCACTTTGAATGCTCGCTGAATGAATGGTCTTAACTCAAGGACTACCTGTATGTGGGAACCCCCTAACCCCCTCCCTTTCCCTGTCATTTTTTCCACAAAAGCTGCTTCTTTTAGTCCAGGTTGGGTTTAGTGGACCACAATAAATTTGGTCAATTTGTCAATTTGACTTATGATTAACAAGCATTATTAAGTAACTAAAATAACATAAATCTAAGATGTATAGAGAAATAAAATATAGAAAATACAAAAGAAAATCTACTAAAAAGTAAGTAAACAGAGAGGTACTGTACATGTACAAATTTACCATATATATAAAATGTTGCCATGTTATAGTCTATGGCTATTGAGATAAACTATAAAATCCATTCAAATTTGATAGAATTGTGGTTCTTGCCTTTGATGTTTCATTATTTTAAACCTGTTTTTTTTGTAATGTAGCAATTAATTCACATCTCAGTTTTCCAGTGTTGGGTAATTATTATTTTAGCTGCTAAAATTAAATAGATAATAAATTCCTTATTTTTAAGCTTGAGATTTGGTCCTGTAAATAAATGTAATAGGGCTAACGCTGGAGAATATTTGATGCTTTGTTTAGTAATGGTACTTATCTCCCCCAAAATTTTATGCCTAAAGGTTATAGCTTTATTGCACCACCACCACAAATGAAAGAATGACCCTTCTGATTTCTAGTCTTTGAAATTTCCAGTCTGACTTTTTTTTAATTAAAAATTGACCAGATTAGACTGGTAGTGAGGGGAATGGAGAATGAACCTTATAATTTTAGGAGATGACTGAATAGCCCCTTGTTTCTTTTTAAAATATATTTTGAAGCCTGGTTGCATATAGCAGTCCCATGCTATTTGAAGAATGGCATTCTTTTTGGTGCTTATTGGCGTGGTCACATGACTACATGTTGCTCACACCTTGGATTTCTTTCTGAATGTATGCTGGCATAACATGTGGGGGCTAGTGACCATCCTACTATTGGACTCCATCTCACTGTTTGAACTGAAAATCTGAGGAGCTCCCAAGGAAATTAGGCCATAAATTCCATAAAATTTGGTGAAACTTGCATTAAGCTACCTGCTCTTCTCAATTGTTTAAAATGTACTGAGTTATTCAGTACAAAATGTTTTTTCAGAAACCAAAGTGCTGATTAATAAGTAGCTTGGCCCTGTGATTCAGGGACAGGTAACTTCCAGATAGAATTACTAAAATGAACTTTATTTGAGCATACCCTTGGGGCTTCTGGAACAGAAGCTACAGCTAGGTTAATGACCAAAGTTGCCTTACTATAGCTATTTCATACCCATTCTAAAACACTGATTTTCAAGCTTCTACAAGTATGATTGAAAGTTTTGGTCTGACTATACAATTTTTTCTTTTTTAAAATGTGACCATTTCCAGTCATTATCAGCTACCTGTACAACTAAAATTTCTGGATAAACCTTCTTTTCTGCACTAGTTCTTAGCAATGTCATTTCCTTGACACCTATCCTGTGGAATGACCACATGGTATACCAGGCTTTAATACTGGCATGTTTTTATTCTTTTATTTATTTTGGCTTTCTCCAGTCATTAGTGTCCCTCCACTGTCTTTTCAATGAACTATTTTAATCTGATAATATTGGTTCTAAACTACTGTAAACCACTTCGGGAGTTTACACATATATTCGAATAACAATAACAATAAACAAATTCAACTGCTGAAAAAATTCCTTGTCTGATGATGCTGGTACTAAAAAAGATATGCAGCTCCTTCCATGTCTTGTCAAAAAATTAATGCATGCTACATATTATATGCTGGATCAAATCCATTCTTTCAAGAATATAGACTGGGGTAATATGCTTTGCTAACAACTCAAAAGACTGTTTATTAATAATATGAACATTTGTGAAATTGTTAGTTATGCTTTCCCCTCCAAATTTCTCACCTGCTAAGCGTCTCATTGGTAGCTCTTCAAGTCCCTTCATGCCATTATGATTTAATAAAACTGCTAGTGCAGCATTTTCATAAAGTGTGTTCCCTCGTATTATCTGGAGATTCTCCAGAGGAATGGTTTGCACTGCATTCATTGCTATAACCACATAGCCAGCCACTTCTTGTATACTCTGGAAGATATGGAAGAGAAAGGTATGCAAAATAAAGACAGAGACTATAACTAATTCCTCCTTCTTGACTTTGCGTTGGCTAACAATATTTAGGAGCAATATCCCATTCCCCCAAATAAGTAAAATGGAAATAAAGTAACTTCCACATAACATTCATATATTCAAAATAACTCCTTAAGACTTATAAGGATAAATTCCAGAAATATAAGATAATATTTATCTATTCAATTTATATAGCTGTGACTCAAGGTGGCATAAAGTTAAAACAACAAAGAACCCTATAGAAATAAAATATAATTGAATATAAGAAGACATAAAGTAAATTTCATGAGACCTAAATTTTTAATAACCAAAACTTATGAAACCAGACAAGCTCAAAGGGTGTCCTGTTCCAGTGCCCGGGGGAAAAGCCAGTCTTCAAAGCGTTAAAAACAATGGGCTGGGCTGGGGCCATCTGGAGCAGGGGAATGGCAGAGGGGAATGCCATTTCATAGAGTAGGCACATTTCCTGGGTGCCGCCAAATGACATTGTTTAAGTTATGGGAGCCAGAGCACGCCAACTTCCTAGAAAGGTGGACATAATAGGAAACAGATGGTCCTGCAAACGACCTATCCCTGTGCCATGTAGGGCTTTAAAGACCAGCCCCTTGAATTGCATCTGGAAAGCCAATGAAGCTTGCAAAGTAGTAGAGTTATGGGGACACACCAAGGTATGCCCATCACTGCCTGCACTGTTGCATTCTGAACCAGTTAAAGTAACTTCTTACAAATTCGTAGGTGTACAATGAAAATAAGAGCTTGTTTGAAATGCATATTTCTCATTGGTTGTAATCTCCTGAGCAAACTGAATGCAACAAAAATCTTTGTGTGTTTGTCCATGGGAGTGTGTGGGAAGGGGGTTGTTCCTGGGATGCCCTTGTTGCATTACCCAGAGCTCCCATGGTTAGGCCCAAGAATGAATGATGGTGCAGACAAACAGCATTTAGAACATTAGGATGTAACAGAATCATACGTTAGGAGGTGGAAAATGGGACTGTGACTTTTCTTTAACAAAATGTCCCCAACACAAAACGTATTCCTAATCTGGATGTGTATTGCTCTTTTCAAAGGCAGGTAAAAGCATTATTGTTCTCTGTCATCTCCATCCAGACTAGAACAATCTACTTCATTTTACGAACCTTTAGAAAGCTAAGGCTGTAGTTGTAATCCACGTAAGTGATTTCCAGATTGCCAAGCACTACTTCACAGTTCTCATACATCCTCTTAAGGTTGTTATAGTGGTCCTCCACGCTTGCAAGTTGAGTTAGCTTATTGCTGGTTCCTTGACAAACTGCAAAAAGAATAAACATGTAATAAAATCTGAAAATCTGCATGCCAAACAGCTAAAAATAAGTGCAGACTCTGGCTGTTCCTAATTATGTCAATGTAAAGTTTCTCACTGAAATTATTCCCCTCACTTTGGGATCTGAACACAAAATCTAAAATTCCATCTACTTTCTACTGAAAATAGGAGTATTGTAGAAATGGGAAAGCATTGCTTATAATTTATAATATAATTATGTTTATAAAATGTGCATTTATTTTTAATTTGTATATTTTTAAATGTATATAAATATTATTATAATTATAATATTATAATTATTATTTGGCCAATAATCATTCTGAAGACATGCATTTAATAGTACTAGTGAAGCAAATATGAGTGTTAACACCTTTCAACCAATACTATTCCTTCAATTGTAGCAAATTGTTATAATTTAATATAAAATATTTTTAGACTCTATAAAATGGTATCTAAATTATAGACCAAGAAGAACAAACAAAACAAAAATAAAATACTTTATATATTAAAACAAAAGATGGATTTAAATGTAAACAGTATCAGTATCAATAGACTAACAAAGAAAATAAAAAGGCTAAACACCATTAAAATTAAAAAAGCAAAATTTTCTTGAGAACACTGCGGATAATAGCAAATCAAAACTGTGTACTACAAAGCTAGACATTTCTTATCTTTAGTGAATTACTGTATAACTTCCAGAGTTTCTGCATCAACCCTAACATAAAATTTAGGATGCTTCATAAATTGGGGCAATCCCAATGACACTGACTTGGCTGGGAACTCAAAAGTACCTTGAAAGGCCTAATTATCCATTTTCATTGGGGAAGACTAATAGCTCTACATGGAGAACAATTAAAGTTATTCAGGCTTAGAGCTCAGTAAAGGAAATAAATTAATGTGTGTCTTCTGCCCATTGTTACCTATCTAGCAAACTGATAGAAATGAATGCAGCTATTTCTGACTTACTAAAGAAGAATAGTTCATTTACATGAAATGTAATTTGTTATATGATCTAACTTTCTAAAGCATTTATTCTAGAAAAAAGAGAATTACCAATTACCACCCCATCATATGAATTACCAATTCATCCCATCATATGTAAGTTATTTTTATGCAGCACAATTTTAAATACTACTTCATCCCATGGCAGCAATAATGAAAAAGAAAAACAATAATAAAAAAAGAACACCACCTATTTTGTCAGGTATCCAGCTTCAAGTCCTGGCAACTTAGTTCTGATCTCTCATGACCTGGGAAGCAGCAAGTACCTGCAATGTTGTTGGCAGGACCAGATGGTGCAGGGATAGACCCCATCTGCTTGCTTCAACAAGTTGCACCAAGCAAAGAACTACACCACATCATGAAACCTTATCATACCCATGAGTACAGAACTTGTCTGTCTGTACCCTTTCAAAATATTATGAATAATAAAAAACAATACAAATCTTTAGGGATATACAGGGCTATTCTTTAGAAATCCCGATACACAAATATTTCAACTTATTCTACTGTATTTCAAGAGGACCTGATTTAATGATGCCCTGCGGTCACAAGAGAAATCTGTATTAAAAATACTATGTATGCGCCCTTAACTTGCCAATTACTTTCTTTGTTTGGGTGAGGGACAAAGAAAAGTTAAACTATTGTAACTGCCACTACAAACTCAGATCAAAACAAACCATTGAAATAAACAATAAAACAACAGCAATCCACAGATTCATAGGAAAAACAACACGTAAAATAAAATAACCGGAAATACAGCAATCTATGCCCCAATCCGTAGCCCAAAATTAAAGCGCTGTTCCTTGCTGTAGGGAACAGTCATAATGCACCAGTCCCTGAGGCCTGAGCCTCAATTTCACAAACTATCTAAAACAAGGAGGGAAGGGCCATCTGAATGTCTGGGGCCAAGCTACAGTCTTCCAGAAAAGGGGACTTGCAATTGAAAAGGCATGGTTCTGAATGGGAGAGAAGCTAGCAAAATAAATTGATAATGGGCTGGATTTAGCTGGGACTGTAGGAAAAAGAAAATTGCCCCAAATAGACCCCCCTCCCCCTAATGGGATCAGCAAGTTGTTAGTGGTTCATAACTGCTTGTTTTTAAGCACTCCTCTCTCCCAGTTATGACAGCCAGAATGGAGCATGTGAAGACCAGCATATGCGTCTCACACAGATGCAATAAGAGGGTAAGCAGAAACCCACATACAGATGGAACATGTAACTATGTTATCCAGAAAAATATAGACACCTTCTTGAGACACTGCTGACAAAGGGGTTGGAAAGAATTCCAGTAGCGATGCTCTATGTGCTTTCTTTAATCGTGTTTTATTTTTTATTTAGTTGGAATTAGTGTTCTTTAAGTTATAGAATAAACTGCTATTCAGAATATCCTATCAGTTTGCATTTGTACAAGATGGTTCCATTTGAAGTACTACTGCAACATGTCCAAATACTGTAATATATGTTAATACTTTTCTTAAAATCCATCTCTTTTTATTGTATGTACAAGCAGGATTAAATGTTTAACATTCCCATTAGATTACTGAAGTATAATTCCACGTGCATTATCCAATTACTTCCACGCAGCTTTGCTTAGTAGTTTCCTATAGCACTGTAACAAAACCTTTCATTTTTATATTGTTTATGATAATAAAGTAAATTATTAACCAGTTGTCTATTTTAAAAAATCAAACACTATACAGGCACTTATCTTTCTAACATGATCCAATTCCAAATATACTGCTGATCTAGTTTACTGTCAAAGTATAAACATATGTAAGCAATCATAGTTGCTTCTAAACCAAGAACTCTCATTTATCTCATCTTGGGAAATTCTAGAAATCTAAGGTTTTTTGGTATTCTGTTATTTTAATCAGCTATACTTTGAAGAACCAGAACAGTGAGGCTGAAAATACATGGAAAATATCAGTAACTAAAAAGCAAATTAAAGAACAAAGAATATAAAGTAGAAAGTACATTGGTACTTATATATGAAAACAGAAATTCAACAGTTTTGTGCTGTAACTTATCAACAAATATATATTTTTCATGTTGTTATTAACTGTACACATTACAGTTTTTCTCCTAAAAAATAAAATTAAAATCACACATCCATAGAAATAATGTACCACCACCCTTTGCCAGAAGTCATCTTGAATGTAAAGCACATGTTCAGGAGTTTTTATACAGCTACAGGGACATTTAATTGTGAAATTAATATGATCCAACCTGCCTCCTTTATCCTGATAATATGGGATGAATAAAAAAGACTTAATGTTAATATATTATATGTACAGAGCAAGCAATGAAACAACACTTTTCAGTTTAGTTTATATTTTATTTCTTTATATTTGAATTATTTTATAAGTCACCCAGTTAGTATTCAGTAGAAGGCACCTTAGTGCATGCAAGATACATGCACAGAAACTTCTGTAATTAAAGTTCATGCTAAAATTTCATGTTAACGTGACAGTTTATCTGTTTTAAAATGTATATAATAAATGTTATGAATGTGTGTAAAATGATACCATTTAACCAGAAAATAATGAATAGAAATGAAATTGCATTTTATCTAAAACTGTTTAGGTATATGCTGATGATTCTTATTGGAAATCCAATTAAATAAGCAAGTATTGTCATCAAATGATGCCTTATAATTGTCATGTAATATTTTGTATAGCTGTCTAATTATAAAATTCTCCATGATTTTGATGCAAATCTCCACTGATAAAATGTAAAGCATGAATGCTTAAGCCTCTTAATCTGCCATCTACTATAAATTTGTAGTATAATGTTGGAAAATCCTTGAAAGTGTACTGGCAATGGATTTTGTTGCATTTTTATTCTCCATAATACCTGTGAGGTTCTAAAGATATTCAATAAAGAAATAAAGATATGAGATTTTTTCAGATGACCAGCTCATGCTGTAATTATGTCTTATTAATGTGATGCAAATATAATCTTATTAACATTGTGATAGCTTTAACTTTATAACTTTCCTGGAATTTAGACCACTATGATCCAGCCACTTCAGCGCTGAGAAATCTGCTGATTGGACTGACAAACCGACAACTAACCTTGCTACTCTCCAAACTGATAAATCCAATATATACTTGCTACCTGTCCATAAATCATGATCTCATTGCATCTAAGCAAACAGAGATCCTGAGGCTAATTAAAAAAAAAAACCCTTCTGCTCCTCTTTCACAGAAAGATTAGAGAGGAACCACAAGCATTTGCTTCTCCTCCCTATCTATCTATTATAAATGCTATTAACACCAACACTAAACTTTGGGAGAGAACCAGTTTGGTATAGTGGTTAAGGCGCTGGGCTAGAAAATGGAGACCATAACTTCTAGTCCTGCCTTACGCAAGGAGCCAGCTGGGTGACCTTAGGCCAGTCATTCCTCTCAGTCCTAGGAAGAAGGCAATGGCAAACCACTTCTGAAATTTCGCCAAGAAAACTGCAGGGACTAGTCCAGGCAGTCGCTAGGAGTCAACACTGACTCAAAGGCACAACAACAACAACAAAAACTGTATGGGAAGCAAGATGGGTGATCCAATGGGAGTAATGGGGGAAGACCTGCAGAGATAAGAAGTAATTTATAAAAGTAAGGGGAAAAGATTTCCCTAGTAACATCAAAGAAATGGAGAAGAATTATGAATTATTCGGAATTTTGAATTACAACACTAATAGGTTCAACTTCAGTTTTGCTTTTAAATCAAAGCTTCATTAACTATTTGCTCTGGTTTCATGCTAAAAGTGCTAAGTGAAAATGGCCTGTGAAAAATCAGAGAAAAGGGTGAAGTCAGAGAAACCTGACTTCAATGCTTTTCCAGTGACTGTTTATAGAACAGGTTACTCTGAGGGAACCAGAACAGTCCTGTGTGTAGCTCAATATTTGTATTGCCTTCCCCTGTGTCTTTACATGTCCTCCAAATCTGTGAATTTTTAAAACTGAAATGTAATCCAACACACAAAGTCTGCA